AAAATGAACTATTTTAAAGACTCTGTTTTGTTTTTCAGGCTAAATTAATGAATGCGCTTATAGAGACCTGTGTGAATAAGAAGCTTGCTTCTGGAAATGAGTCAGATTTTGTGGATAATTTATCAGGTAAGAATGGAGAATAGTGTTTTTACAATTACAGGAGATCGAAACTAATAGTGGCAGTGTTTTTACAGGAGACTGAACCTAATGAGAATACTGTTTTTAAATGAGAACTAGGTGTGGACAGTGTTTTTACCTAATGAGGATAATGTTTTAATTGAAGATGAAACTAAATTTTATTTAGCTATATGGACTACGTGATGTTTTGGGAGCTAATTATATACTCCTTTCTTCTACTGTTACTTCTGATAGGCAGCATATCTTATGCAATAACTTAGAGAAAATGATAAATCATTTATTTTGTTCTATTGAGCTTTTTCTGCTGCTCTTTTAATTATTTATTATTAGTAATTAATTATTTTGTTAGGTATAGAACAAGTTGAAGAAAATGTACTTGACTATGTGGCGGTACAAGTTGAATTAGTTCTCTTTATACTTTGTCGCTTAAAAGTTTGAAAATAATAATAGATAGCTGTAAAACCTTCTATTTTCATAAGCACTTCAGTGGCACTGTGGTTAAGTATTAACTTTAGGGGTTTGAGTCCTTGGGCTCATACACCTTTTTTTAAATAAAATAATTTAAAAAGGTATCATGGTAACCTTCATCCAGATAACCCCCCCCCCCCCCCCCCTTTCTTTCTCCAAACTAATTGAAACAATTACACTTCATATAAGCTTTGTTTAAAAAAAAAGTGTTTATATTTTACTTGTTGGTTATTCAGATAGAACCTTTGTGCTGCCCCCAAAAAATAATGAGTTTGGCATCCAGCTTTGATCTGATATTACCTGGGATAGAGAAGAAGTAGAGTTTCTTTGAAAACTTGACTAAAAATATCAAGACAGATAGTGCTGAATAAATTGTTTACTTTTTGTTGTTAGATATTACAGAGAAGAGAGTATTAAATAAACTGGATAGAATGACAATGGAAACTTACACACAAGAAGGTGAGATGCAAATTGTAATCATTCCATAGTTTGTATAAGACATTTTATTCTAGCCATAGTTGAACTAAACCACAGGCATTGTGTTAAATTATGGGCATTCATTCTGGCATATACAATTTATAAATCTATTTTATCAATTATGAATTATTCTGAACTATATTTCTTTTTTTTTAGTCAAAAGTTGTTATGAAAATTGTATTCTGTATCGGTTATCGTTCTTATGTTTACATGTGCTTGTAACTCGTCAGTGAGAATGTGTTCATGAAATGTGTGTTGTGTTGTCATTCAGTGTATTTAGCAATAACAATAAACAATAAAGTATTTAAAAGTAATAAATGAATAATTAAACAAAACCTTATTAATTCATAGTTTTTTGGTATACAAAGTCACAATGACAAAAGAAAATAGTTTGAGATGAATACATTTTAAAAAATGATATAATTAGGCATGATACAATGTTTAGTGGTTTTTTTTTGTATTACTGTCAATTTATGTCTCAATTTAGTTAGGAAATTTTAGGATGCCCAATTTTAATTTGTACCTAATTTTAGTTGGGGAAAGTAAAGGCTGTTGGTTGTTGTGTGGGCCACATGATACCCTCGTTAGCTGTTAGCCATAGAATCAGATGACCTTTTACATAATCTGGCCTATAGATTGCATGATTTGAGAGGCGAAGTCTACTTCTTTTTTTTGTTTTGTTTGTTTTAATGTCTCAACTGTCATTAAATTTCTTATCACTTTTATAAAGGGCCCTATATCATGCCAAAAAGTTTTACCATTTGTCAAAATAAAAAGAATTATGGAGATGTCATCAATTAAGATTTTATTCTTAGTATCCTGACACAGTTATGCCCCTTTAACACGTAGTAGTTATTATGGTTGACAGGTAGATACTATGCAAAGAGCAAAGTTATTAAGACCTGTTTCAATGACTTGTATTACCAATTGTTTCCTTAGGTGAACCTTTATAAAAGTTGTAAGCAGCCCATTCAAGAGAATGTATGTCTACATTTTGTTCAGGCCATCCTATCTCCTCAATGCCTTGCAATGGCAACACAAGACATTTGTTGTCAGCACTTGGCCTTTATATGAAGTAGGAAGCATCAAAGTTGTCTTGTATCTGCTCCACCACAATTTTATTTTAAACTTTATAGTACATTAAATTTGAATTTGAAAACATCCTGGCTAGTTAACTGACCTAATGTTTTGTTTTCTATCAAAAGAAATAGTAAATAGTCTGTATATTATCTGTGATAATTTTGACTTATTAGATTGTTTTATCATGAAAACTCTTTTTAAACTGTAATAATTATGTATATAACAATATAATCCTTTTTTTTTTATCTAAAAATGTAATACTTATGTATATAACATGTTTCCTGTTTGATGAACTAATTACTCATTTGATTTCATTGGTCAGATTTAAAAAAAAAATTTGTTTCTAGATCTTTATTTGCTCAAGTCTACTACTCAGTCTTTTACTTGACAGTCAGTAGTCACCAAATGTCTTTAAACGTTTCCTCTACATTCTAAATGATTGATTTGAATGTGCAATGTCTGGTTTTATAAAGTGAATAGTTCATTTAAAGTGACTACAGTAGAAATTGAATGCACTAAATATTCATTGTGTAGTCCATGCACTAGTAGTTAAATATTTGTAAATTGTTCACGCATTCCTTAGTAACTATTCTTTTTTGTATTGGTTATGTTAAGCATGATCATTTATAATTTAATTATTTATATATGTATGTCAGAAATACATTATTTTATAGACAGGCAGCTTTCAATTTTGTTCATAGCACTTTTTATCTCTCAAATTTCCAATATTTATACAATGACCATTTTAAACATAAATGGTTACAAGTTTTGAATAAATATAAGGGAATATAGTTATTTTGTACAATAAAAATAAATGGAATATTTTTTTACAAGTCTTTTCAAAATACAATTAATATCAAGGCTGTTAGAAGTAAACATGGTTAATTATTCATCCTTAATTTTAAATGTCTACAATTCATTGTTGTTGTTTTTTTTTCCATTTTCCTAGCAAAAAAATCTTGAATCCCAAAAAAACTTTATTGTCCTGGCTTCCTTACAGAAGTGCAGTGAAATTGTTTATTCCTATATTTAAAAGGACTCTTGTACAAAGTAGACTTTTTTTTTTAAACACATGAATTCAGCCATTGACTATGAGAAACATTTAGAAGTCACTCTTAGGTGTGGAGGTCTAGCATACACTACTTCCAACTAGTTATTTTGTAGAAATAAATGTTGATCATTTATAAGCAATGCTACACTGAGGTTTCCATCCACATTATTCTGCTAGTGCATATATATGATTGGGTTTATGAAAGTGGTGTTATTTACAATGTTGTAAGCTCATTAATTTCATCTTTTCAGAAGAGCATTTGTTTCAGGCTAGTTAAGGCTCATTTAATAAATATTTACTTTGGATATTTTGTTCATGACATTTGTATTTTTTGTGTTTTTGCAATGCTTTTTTTTTTTTTTTTTTGATAGTGTGGTTTTAAACATTAAATTGAGCTATCAATTCTTTCAAATAGTTATTTCTTCCATTTTGTGTGTTTGTGTTTAACAAATAATTTATTGTTATTTTAGCCAGCTCATATCAAATCTCTGGTCAAAATTTGTACACTTTTAACTCTTTCTCTCCTAACTGATGATACCAATGTTGATTCCACCAGAATGTGGTAAATAATTACGGAGAGAAAGAGTTAAATCTTTTAAGCTTTGCACATTTATTCACTGTTGATGACGAGTCAATTAAAAAATTAACCAATTAGTTTATTAGTTATATTAATTAATTTTGTTTTATATGGAAAATGTACTAAAGCGGTGACAGGTGAACAATGACAATGATGTTGAGAATTAGGTCATTCATAAAAAAATGTTAAAGCTACACAAAACATATCAGTCTTCCATCATAGAGACTCGAGTTTGAATTCAGATTCAAGCAACTTTCTGGGACTCTTGTTTGTTAACATGCAAGATTAGGTCAGGTGACCAACTTAGGCAATTGTGTACAGTTATCTGTTTAACAAGTTCCATCCAAAATAAAATTCAACCATAATTACCAATAAGTCGACAAAAAATGTAACTGACTTGACAAACTCAAACAGTGGCCTCAGTTCTTTGTACTTAAAAAGGTAAGGTCCACTGATAACCAAATGGCCTTTTTGAACAACAAACCTTTACTACATGTATACAATATGTATGTGAGCAACCCAGAGATTACATTTCTTTTTTTTCTTAGCATTTTGCCTAAAAGAATTTCTGAACAGGTTTTGTTTTTGTTAAACAAGATTTACTAATTATTTCTCTCCGAAATTATTTTTTTCTCGTTTCGATAGTATTCTTCATTTTGCTCATTTGTATTTCAATATCATGTTATGAATAAACTTCAGTAACTTTTTGCTCGTTATCAGAAAATGTTATATTTGGTATGAAACTATAGGAGAATGCATGTTCTTATTACACAACATGAAGTTTATAAATCCAAAAAAAAAATTTAGTTTAATGGGGGTCAAATCAACGTTGGCATAATCAATTAGGAGAGAAAGAGTTCTCCTTTTACATATTCATGGTAGAATTCAGTGGCTTCGTTTAACTAGTGTTTCAGTGGATTGCAGTCTTAATTTATTCATGTTTTAATACCAAACTTAATACTAAACAAACACTTGTGCTGTGAGCATCAAGTCAAGTTTGATAATGGATGCATGACATCCTTTGCAACAAGAACAAGCAGTTCAGTAGCTTCTTTAACCATTGGCCACATCAATGCATTAATAGGTCTTTAATGCAAAAAAAATAATAATATAGGTACATGACTTCTCTTGTGGAAAATTGGAAACTATATTGGCTGGCTGACTACACATATTCTCACAGACACTGAAATTAAAGAACAAGATGGAGTGTTGATCATATACATGAATAGTTTTATTTTTTTCCCTTGAGGAAAAAAAAAAGCCAAAGATGCTGTTTAGGGAAAAGTTTGACAAAAAAAAAATATAATCATAATTTATATATAAAAAAAAACAACTCAAATGACTAAAATGTATGCATCAATAGTGAAATAAAACAAAACATCTGAAGGGTAATTCTGAAAACAAGCAATAGCAGCACCATGTTTAAAGTCTGAAGAAGAGAGAAGCCAAAAGCTAGAGTACAGAAGAGGTTCATGTTTTCTCTCATCCTTACCCCAGGTCACAGAAACCAGTAGACAAAATGGCTTCATGCAACCAATTGATCTCTAAACTTGCTTAAGATTTATGGTATTCAAAGCATTCAGCCCCCGCACCCAATACTAGAAAGTAATGTAATTAGCTAGAACCTTTTTTGTCATGACTTTGCATTTGCAAGTTATTGGTTTCAGCTGATTTAACTTAAGCTAACTATACAGCTATGTTATGTTGGGGAAAAAAATAACTAATTTGAGTTCCAATTACAATCATGACAATGACCTAATCTTAATAATAGGATCACTAATCCTATTTAGCAGAGATGTTTACTAAATAAGTTACAAGTCTGCTAATTATGTACACAATTCAAGCACAGCAGCCAAAGTATTTATATATGTAGATTATGTTTGGGAGATTTTCCTTGGACCAAGTTTACAACAACATATTTTTATGTTAGGTAATTTCATAAGTCTATGAAATAAAACTGCAAACAGAAGCTCTCAACCAACTAGGCCACTATGTTAAACATTGCATGAAGCCAAAAATGTACTGGGAACAGACATGCCTGAACATATCATTAGGGTAGGTAAATGATAAGGATGGAGATGGGGAGGGAGGGGGGGGGGGAAATGAAATGTATAGTAAAAGAGTAAAAACACAAACTTGTTGACAATATCTACCATGTTCACATAGACATTTGCCTTCTTGCCAATGTTTCTGGAGGACTAGTGCTGAACCAAGGTTTGTTTTTCTGGTCCTCCCCAATCTTTGAGAGGGATGCACACATACTTGAGGTCAAAAGTAGCATCAATGTATTGAGTGTAGTGTTTGAAAAGTAAAATGTGACTTACACAAAAAGAGAAGGCAAATGTGAAATCCAAAGGATAGAACCCAAAAATAATTTGAAAGTAAGATATATATGAAATTTGATTCAACATTGTGGAAACATTTCCAGGTATATTTTATTGTGATATAAGTTCCAGATCTGGGAGACAATGGAAATCATCTATTTTGTTGCTATGAATATGGCCTAGAGAAAAATGTGTTGAAAAAAAAAAGATATTATAGCCACTCTTATTATTATTATTTTTTTTTACAAATGTAAAGGTTAAACAGAACTTACAGTTTCATGCACCAATTGTGTCAATGAATTTGATTCTGCCTTTTGACATGAACAGTTTTCCATTCTTTGAATTGATCTCAGTATTGGACAAGGTATAATTAAGGTTCGAAACAAAGTAAAAAAAATAAAAGGTTAGGTTTCAAGAAGACTGTGTGGAGACAGATGGGAAAGAATGGGGAAGATATAAATAGATTTATAGTGATAAAAAAGTTTCTGGGAATAACAACAAAAAAAAATCATAAATAAAAATAAAAGCTTGTATGAAGGCATACAAAGGTGACATGTACATGTTCATAGTACTACTAAATTTGTATATGTACAAAGACATATTCAACATAATAGTCATAGGCAGGCAGAACACTTTCCTCTTTAACTATTTACACAATATTGGTTTGTTTTGTTAAACTCAATTATATTATTTTTATTAAGAAAGAGACATTAACAATATTTGACACAACTGAAGAAGAAGAAAAAAAAAAAAAAAAGCATTCTAACATTTTTCACATTTCTGAGGCAACAATGACAGGGATAACACTTCACTGGTCTTTGTTTTCTTCTGATGATAGCATTTTATGTTTGTCCTCATTGTTAGTATAGAAATTGTAAAAGTCTAACTGTACAGTTGGTTCAGAACATGGTTAAGGAAAGACATTAAACAGTGAACCAAGCATTTGAAGAATAAAATATGGCATTTAAATAACACCAGCCATCTTTCGCCTTTCAAACAAGTATCTCCAATTTAGTCTATTACACACACAAATCTCCATAGTAAAAAGTTGTACACTATGTACAGAGGAGGTATATATATATATATATATATATGTTTCACAAGCAAACTCTCAACACTATTTCTCCAGGATCAAAACACTTAGACAACTAGCAGCCAATTGATTAAAACAATCCTACACTTACAAGATAAGCATTATAGTTTTTTTTCTTTATTCACAAATCATATAGGCAAAAAAAATAAAAAAAAATAAATAAAAATAAGTGATTTTTAAAAAAATAGTATTAATGATAATTTTGTTTCAACCAACAACACAACAACTTGTGGCAATACATTTGCTAAAGAGATATACAGGATTTGTCCCACACTTTGTACACGAGATTAGAGGTGGCCAAGAAGAAAGCATGAATAAAATAAACTCAATTTTGTATGTATCACACCAAACAGCATTGGACAACAAATGTAATGCAGCTGTAAGTATCAAACTCATTGCATTCAACAACCATAAGAGTCTTTCCCCCCTACCCATACCACTGTAAAAATAAAAAGTTGTCTCACAAATAAAACACAACAAATGTCATTTCTATACTAAATTATATCAACACTTTTAGGCAATGAGTTATCAAGTCACAAAGTCAAATGAAAAGAAAATAGTCAAATAATGGTTCAGATAAAAACAACAACACTACAAGAAAGAAACAAAATCAGGAATAAATTTGATCTTCAAAAAAAAACAAAGAAGAAACAAACCCAAAAGCTACTGCAATAAATACATTAGAGAATACAATCTAGACTAGGTAACTCCCCCCTCCCCAAAATGTTTGTTTATAAATAATAATAAACAAAAAACAACTTTTCAATTGTTTAAAAAAAGGAAGCTTTGACAAGAATGCTCTTGAAATAAAACTGGGATCACAGAGTGTACAAATAGTGACATTAACACACAAGTGGCTAGACAGGAAACCCAAACATTTAAATTAAAATTTTTTTTTTTGATGATCCAATTAGTCGTAAAAAGATTAGAGTAAGAATGAAGGCTTTTATCAAAAGTATTATGTAGGAACAGAAAGACATCAATGTTCAGACTGCTTCTTACTAACACTGAGAACAGATTAAAAAAAAAAGAAACAGCTACAGTTAGATGACTAGACTTAAAACAATGCAAAAGATGGGGGTTCGAACGGTAATGTACAAAAACATTCCCCCCCACCCACGTTCTAGGATTCCTTATCTGATAAGTGAGCAAACTGCTGTTCATTTCATCTATAGAGTTACAACAGATCAAAATGTATTAGTCCTCTAGGAATAGACTAAAACAACATAACAGTCTAATATCCAGGCAGCAAGTGCAAGAAGATTGAAGCTGGTCAACACAAGCACAATACAGAATGAAATCTTTGCATCTTTTGTGTAACAGAAGGTTACATGTACATTTGACCCTGACACAACAGTCGCACAGCTACACACTGATCAAGGCAATAAGGGGATAGAGCATAAATGTAAATCATGTCTGCAAAGCACAGCTAGAAGATACCAGGATTGAACTGATATACACATCAAAGTGTTTCTTAGTTCTGAACCTACCACTGTGGAGTAGGAAAACTCCCATGTCATGAACTAGGCAATTTCAGCTTGAAAGGAGTAGAAAGACCAGTCTTAATTGGACTAAATAATCTACTCTGTTCTGCAGAAATAAAACAGACCACAATGTAGCCTTACAAAGAATAACAACATAATATTGATGTTAGCCCCCTAAAATGTAGAGTGTGTCACCGTAAGGCATAGGTTCACATAATTTTTTTTTTTCAAAGAATGGTAACAAAATTGCATTTGCAGTAATAATAAAACACAATTCTGCTGGAGGGATAGGTCAGAAAATGAAATCACATTTAACAACAACTAAACATTACAAAAACAAACAAACAAAAAAATCCCACAAAGAATACATAACAGCTAGCAGAAGTTATTTTTTTAAAAAATCAATTTGATTGAAAATGGTCAGCTTAATGGGAAATTTTTTTTAAATGGCAGCAACATAACTTTGAAACAAAATTATTCTCATGAGAATCTAACAAGCAGCAGAGTATAAAATGCATGTCTGTACAAAATGGTTAGGGTCTGTCTGTGTGTGCATATAGCACAAGTAATGTCTAACAACAGAGTTCAGCAACTTAAAACACACTTCTCTAGTTACTACATGACAAGAAGAAGAAGAAGATCACATTGTCTGGACTAAAAGCCCACATAGTCACTAACATAAACTTAGTGTATAGTAGTCCACTGATTGATTTATGTTTGTTTGTTTTAATATAAAAAAATGTACATTAACACAATATGTTCATATATTGCAGATTCAGTTTGTTGTTCTTACAAATGCAAAAGGTCCTTGTTGTAATTGTTCATCTAAACTAGAACACCTAGACTCACTTGTCACCTATAGTTTCATGAAATCATACAGATATCTAGGCTAACTACAATACAAAATAAAGAATGATTAGGACCAGAAATCTAATGCTACATATATAAATAAAGATATATATATATAAAAATACAATATTTAACAAGTTTATGGAAAGACAAATGAAATCTAGGTTTCGCAGGTTATTTTAGCAACAGATAAACAGCAAGGACCTTAAGGTTTGAAGATTGTCAAAACTGTTTGAGTGAATGAAAATAAAATTCAAATTTGCACAAATAAAGATCTATTTCAACACAAAGTAGGAAACAAAATTTACAACAACCTCAATACACAACCATTGCATCCCCCCCACCCCAACCAATGCCCCAAGCCCAATGTGCATGTGATGGTGTCTCCCTTGCATAGTCAACAAAATTAATATGAGATAATCAAGTCTTAATCCACAAGTTTGAATAGTTTGTTTTTTTTCTTTTTTTTTGTAAAATGAAAAGAGATGAAGACATTCACACACATACAATTTCCTTTAACAACCAAGTCCAAGATTTTCAAGGACTGCATGAACCAGGTTAGTATACACTTCCTGACCATCAGAAAGTAAGAGAAACTACTAAGAGACAGTGCAGAGTTGTTTCAACTGAATCCAGTGCCTTCAACTGCTACATGTACATCCCTCTTGATACTAGAGATATGTGTGTGATAAGGGGAGAGAAAACAACCTTCCAATGATACAATTGCTCAGCTTTCTAAGAAAACACAAATAAAAAGCTTCATAAAGCTGGCAATGTCACTCTATAAACACATAGGAGACAAGTTCACAACACAATACCAAAATAACTTCTACTAATTGGGGCGTTCAATTTGAACACATTACACTTGAAGAAATATATATGCAATATATAAAAACCATCTTAGTATATATTATATCTTTAACTTTTTTTCCTTATCTAGTAGCTAGAATGATGTTTTGTATTAGTTCATTGTACACACATCAAGTTCTAATGACTGAAAATGTAGCTTGGGTTATGATGTAATAATTCATCTAGAATTAAAAGAATTAAGTTGTGATTATTGGTAAAGCCCTACCAAATGTAAAAAATAACAACAAAAAACAAGAACACTACATCTGTCTGTTTGTGTGGCACTAATCACATAGCTATAACTGCCAGAGTGTGTGACTGTGCTGTTCACAGTTCAGTGTGCTGCTCACAATAGCATGGCACTGTGTGAATGAACAAGCCAAGCCCTATCCAGTGTGAATGAGAACTTATTGATTTTTTTCTCTCCCCCCCCCCCCCAACACTATGTGGGAACAATCATCCTCCACTCCCCCACCCTATCCCTGACTAGATTCCTGCCTGCTCTTCCCAAGACTTGACTTGAAATGATGTCCTCTGGAGCTGGGATAGTACAAATGGGAGAAAGTAGTTTAATAAAACCTGCCTAAATAGATAGTTTCATGTAATTTTAGAAGTGGTCTCTTTAAAATGTCTGAACACCTAAATATCAGTTAGGTTTCTTTTTCCTGGCTCACTATCAACTACCCTATATCTTTCTAGGCATAAAAAAGGTATATTCTTATCACTACAATGTTTAGGGAAGGCACATATTCTTCATGGCTGGGGCACAATGCCTTACAAAAAAAAAGTTTGAAAACCACAAATTGCAGAGGTAAAAGTCTCACAAAAGTTACTCATAAATATTCTTTTCATTTCAAACACTGGGTTGAAAATGATTAGGAAAGGTTTCTTAAATGTTATATGGAGTACAGGCAAGAGCATCATGAACATCATATAAG